GTCACACAGTCAATGAGAGAAAAAAGGGGCCTGGACCCTTAGTGTTCTGATGCCAACTCGCCTGTTGTGCCCCTCGGCCATTCTATTGTACCGCGAAAGGGTGGGACTGGACTTCTTTGGAATAGTACCTAACCTGGGACCGGTACAATTAAAGCACTAAATAATGAATGTCCCCAGAGCGCGGCCGGGGGAATTGGACCCTTCCCTGGGTGTCATGTGGGAAATGGGCCACTTCTGCCGGCTTACTGTTTACTCATTCACAGCCTCCGACGACATCAGGCCTGCACACCCCTGCGNTTTACTCATTCACAGCTTCCGACGACATCAGGCCTGCACACCCCTGCGACGGAGCCTGAAGTAGCAGGAAACGGTAAACTTCTGGCCGGGCTGAACTGAGTGACAGGTCTGGGGCGCAGCGTGCGGGTGTGAGACCCTCCTGGGGAGCTGGGCAAGGCGGAAAGCGGGCCTGCGCCTGGAGAGCCTGGCCCGGCCCTGGGGCAGTGAGTGCCACCCACGCTGCCCCCTGTGGGCGCTGCCTTCAGAGGTGGCAGGGCGGGGGCGGCTGCACCCCTGTGCCAGGACTGGCCGGCCTTGTCCCCCTGCCCCCAGGGGGTGCTCCGACACTCCTGGACTGCCAGATAAGGGGTCGCGGTGTATGGGGTGCATACCATCTTGGGTCTTTTTAGGTGCTACACAGACCAGCAAGAAAGCACCCATGTGCGCGTGCAGGCGCACACACACAGGCGAAAGCTCTTCTTTCCAATTCTCTTTCAACACCTCTGACTATTCCAGGAGAAAGTCTCATTTTGCTGCCAGAAGCCCTTTAACACCTCTCTACCGGTGCTTATCTTGTCTTTTTATAAAACAAAGAGAGAGCAGGCCTCCAGCTCAGACTTTGGAGCAGGTGTTAGCATCTAGCTTGATGTTAGAACAAGTTTTTTCATCTTATTATTTTTTGTTACCTTCCATTTACAACAAGTGATAATGGTTTTCTAGTTTCTATAGTGATAAAAAGTTTCCCTTTAAAATACATGGTAAAAGCAAGTACTCCGGAACTCAGACTACTAGGTTCAAATCCCAGCTCTGCCACTTACTCCCTGTGTGACTTTGGCCAAGTCACACAACTTCTCTGTGCCTCAATTCCCTTATCTGTAAAGGGAAAGTAATAATGACATCTCCCTATTAGGTTACTGTGAGGATTACATTAGTTAATACACGTAAAGGGTGTCGACTTGTGACTGACATTAGTAAATGCTGTATAAGTGTTTGTTATCATTAGGTCAAATGGGGAAAAAACACAACACACAGAGAACACTTCTTTGGACCAGCCGCACCATTTTTCATGTGAGGAAGCAAAGCTTCTTAAAGATAATTAAACAGCTGAGTTAGGATCTCGGTAGGTCTCTGGATTCCCAATTCATTTACCAACCATTTCAGTCCTCTGTAATTAATGTAACCTCTTGACCTTGGTTTATGCATCTGTAGAATGGAATTAATACAGTCTCATTGGATGTTGGGATGGTGTGTAAAGGCTCAGAAAATGAGTTGGTATAATGTCTCTAATGCATTCTCAACAAGGGTAATATCGCCCCTAAGGGGGCAAAAATTGGTTCTTGGGGGGCAAAAAATCTTTTTTACATATAATGCACAGATAGACAATATATCTGTTATCAAAATTTCATGAGGAGTGGCGATTAGGAAACAAAATGTCTAAAAAAGGCTCCTTAGGAGAGCATTAATAAAAAAAAGTTGAGAAACCAAGGTTTTTCCCACTTGAGTTGGTACTCACAATGGTTTGTGAAGTTGGCTTAATGGGGGATTAAACTGATATAGAAAATGCCACAGTTCACTGCACATAAGGATCGTGAGAAAGTCTAGGTTCAATTCGGCATGTGTGTGCATGTGCTGAGTCAGGAAATAAAATGTATCTTTTGGGGGTTACTGTTAAAAAAGTTAAAAGCCATTGCTCTAAACAACTATTTTTCTTTTTCTCCCCTGATCCTTTACCTCTCAGACAAGACCGCACAGCCCTGGACTGTTTGAAGAAATTAATAACGAAGGAAGGAAACGTAGGAGAGTCCAGATCCCAATGCAGCTGGGGCCTGGCCTTTACCAGCTCATGGCCCAGGATTCTTCCCTTCCCTATTCCATATTCCAGGGTAAGCCCCAGGTACAGAGGAGAATGGCTGTCCCTTCGCACCAGAAGGGAAAGCGTCTCCCACTCTGCCCGCCCCTCCACATCCCTTCCTCTGCTACTCCCTCTCTTCTCTCCTCTCTTCTCCCAACTTAGAAGGCAGCAGTCATGTTGACCCTCATCTGAGTCTCAGCTCTGCCACTTACTCTGTGACCTGGGGCAAGTCATCTCACTTTCCCGAGCCTCGGTTTTTCCATCTATAAAATGGGGAGATTATCTGTAAGATTGTAATGATCTTAAGTGAGAGGATATATGTAAAGCTTATTAGTATTTCAGTACCTTGTATACTGCGGGTGCTCACAATAAGAGCAGCTAACAGGCCCAGAAGCCCGTGCAAATAGTTTATGCACACTATTTCTATTTAATCCTCGCCATGAGCCGGCAGGTTTCAAACCTCAGTTCAGTATCTTTCCACATATTTGAGCGCCATCTATAGTTCTTCCTGACAACATTGACTCCCTTCCAAAAAGCTTTCCTCATAATCCCACAGAATGACTTCTGCTTACATCATATTGGCCAGACTTCCAACTGCAAGGGAAGCTGGGAAATACAGGTTTTTTTTAAAAAAAGTAGGCACCTTTTAGTCTCCAACAAAATAAGAAAGCTGTTGAGAATGGATGCTTGTTAGGCAACCAGGGGCCACATCTTATTTTAACCTTGAACTGAATTTTCAGAAGACTGTCCAGAGCGGGGGAAATGAAACTAAGGAAGCAAGGACAATGGACAGAGATCAGCTCTGAAAATGTGACTGACATATCTAAACTGTATTCAGTGATGTTTTGTCTCTTTGTATGTAACCTTTCAGACCCTATAGGAAAATGAATTTATGAGTTTTCTATATCTGCTTAACAGTATAGTGACCAATACGTTCTCTATGTGTTGTGGAATGGAAAAAAAAAATAATGGGAAAAAACCCTACCTCATTTACTCCCTGTTTAACTGTGGACAAGGTACCAAACCTCTCCATGCCTCTGTTTTCTCACCTGTGAAATGGGTGCAATAATAATCCTTACCCACAAAGTTGTTTTGGGGGAATGACTGAATGTTTTTAGGCGCTCAGAACAGTGTCTGGCCCGTAGTAAATGCTACATAAGTAGCAGCTACTGAGCTGGTATTATTTCCCCAACTTCACAGAGGAAGAACTGAGGTCAGAGATTGGCCCACCATCATTCCAGGGACAGAAGAATCTGCATTTGTTACCATTTTTAAAATTCTAGCTTAATTTAAACAAAGTGCACCAATTATAAGAGAATTTCTAGGGAACACATACGTATATACCAGTGATCAATGTAAGGACATCCCTTTAGCGTGGGCTCAGAAGGCTCCCCGGAATCTCCTCTCAGTCAGTACCTTCCCCCCACTTAAACGCCCTTCTGATTCTTCACGGAAGATGCTTTGCCTGTTTTGAACTTCAGCCAGATGGAGCCGCGGAGAACGTTTCTTTGGTTATCCGCGGAGTCTGGACCTGGAGCCCGGGGGCCCCGCCCAGAAACCGCAGCCTAAGCCGTTACCCTATCCCGTCCTTCACTCCGGGCCGCACCCGACACCTTGGCGAATCGGAACCGGGACGCTCTCTAACCCACTGAGCTACCCCGCCAGGCGCCCTAGACTGCCTTTTAAAGCAGCAACTACTTAGGCTTTTTTTTTTAACTGTTGACACTGTTACAGACGTGCCCCATTCCCACGCCCCTTTGCCCACCGCCCTCCAGCGGGCCCCCGCCCTGGCCCTCGCCACACTTGTCTGTGCCCATGGGCTAAGCACATGCGTTCCTTGGCGAACCCCTTCACCTTTTACTCCC